CTATGCATATACGTTTAAGCGCATAATAGCCAAAAAGTGTAACTGATAATTCTTCTTTTGATATTAGTTTAAAATCCATAAAGGCCCTTTTTAATCTTAGTGAAAAATTGCATTATATACCATTAAACGTGTCCATAAAAGAAGGTAGCCAAACAGAAACTTACTATCAAAAGAACAGCTGACCGAAAAACTAGTATGTACATTTCCTGAAGCCAGCAGTTAGTCGATAAATGGACACGTGTCCATTTCATGAAGCATTTTGAGTGTAACTTCCTTAGTTGTTAAGTATAATAATTAATTAAATACGTTTTAATGATAGTTTCATTAAGAATTTTTGTTTACAAGTGGTCAAGTGAATAACATTTATCTCTGTAATATTCTTCGCTATCTTAATAATTAATTTTAGCGTTTAAGACGCTAATGTAATAAAACTAGTTATTTTTGAACGAAGTTCAATTTGTTGCTTCAATAAAACGCGTTTTTGAACTCAGTTGTAATAGGAACAGGAGATTTAAATATATCACCCATCCTAAAGTTGCTTGCTTGCTTTAAATTTTAGAGACAACTAAATGCAACGATATTTCGGTTTTTGGCAAAGCAATGATTTTATAGATAGAATTCTAATCAATAATTTATACAATGCACGCATAAAAGGATCGCCGTACCGCATTCGTATTAAAAGCAAAAGAAATCGCCAGTAAAATCTCACTTCAATTTATATGAAATATTATTACAAAAGACAAGTGATGTCTATCTTTGCGAAAGGGTGAAAAATGCAGTTTGTTTTTAAGTGTTCACTAAGTAGTTAAAGGAGTGGTTGATCCAGCACAGATAAAATCTTTGTAAAAAATACAAAATAACCAAACAAAACATTAAATTCGCTCACGGCACACGAATATCCAACATCCAGCCTGTTTCTCTAATTCGATTTTCATCGTTTGTTAGTTAGTTGATTTACAATATTATTTATTTATTCACCTTTGGTTTGTCTAAAACTATCCCTTTGAACGAACGATCGATAATGTATATCGATGTATTGTGATTTCTCGCATATTCTTGATTCGTCTGATTTGCTCGCAGTCACTAAACTGTGACTATTTTGACAATTGAAAAATCGAAGAAAAATTAACAAAAACTATGAAAACAACCAAGAATTTTCTCTGTTTTGTTTTTTTATTAATTTAATTTTTTAATGAATTACATTAATACCCAGAAATTGCATTCAGCCTGAGACATTCACAATAACATTGTTGATAGAGCCACATATATGTTGAATAGAATCACCGTTCTAATAGTCCAGGTAAGAGATTCATGACATTTTGACTATTAGATTAAAGGGATAAAGAGCTGGAATGGAAGGAATGTGATAATGCACTAACCGGCGAAAGCCGACCATGAAGTATCTTTTGCACGTTGGCACTATCCAGAAAACATATGAGGCTCATAACAGTGATGTAAAGTATGTGTCGGGCACGAGACTTGTTAAGCCATGTGTTAAGGTTACTAAGCCATTCGATAAAATGAATAGACATAAAAACTGTCCAATTTATTATTACCTTGCTTTATATATGTTTTGCGCACAATTGCGATTAAAATTTATCTAAAAAAGGTAATAAGTGAAAGTTATGTTAACTTGTCGTGAACAACAGATGTCACTATTCCCCAATAGACACAATATAAGTATGAGGTTTACCTAAATAAGAAAGTACAACATAAGCTGACACGATTTATTGAGCTAACTGAAGGAACACGAATAATTTAATATTTCACCGGATTCATTTAGAACAAACATTGCCAATAGATTTAGATGATTACTCAACTTACCTAGATACTTTGAAGAACACCGTTGAGTTTGATTTTTAACGTGTAAAATTTCAAGGTACTCGTAGACAATTTTGCCACAGACGGGTAGTAGGACAAAGACAGAGTAGATTGAAATTTTCGTAACATTTCAATATTTGAATTACTGGCTGTTCCCCGCAATTATTTGGCATAGGTCCATTTGTTGCAAGATACTCTTACATAAAACACAGCTATTCTTTAGATTAAGCTCCGTTGCTACCCTTTAGCTTCTTTGTAAATCTTTCGATATTAGCCTTTGATACTCTTCTTTGGCTTCCAAGAGAAACGCTTAGCCAGGTTGCAGGTAACAAAAATTGAACCCTTTTTTGTCGAGTATCTGATCAGTTCTAATAAATAAAAGCTTTAAAGCCAACAGCTAACGTTTATAGGAAGCACCACGAAAAGATTACCTGCAAAAAAGTGCTTAAGAGTGCGCTTCAACGCTGCTACAACGAAAAGTCGAAATAGCGGATAGCCACAGCTGTAGCCAACCAAAAGTCTATAGTTAAAGATCTGGCGTACTTGAGCATTTAGAAGAGTAATTAGAGTAACAATCATATGTGCTATATGCGTCGCGATTATATAAGCATAGGTGCATATGTCGAATGCGTTATAAAATACAACACTCCATAAAGAGAGAGAGAGAGAGGAGAACTCAAATTGAACTGAAAATATATTTCAGAGCTATTTTTTAAGCCAAGTATTCTTCTCCGCCAGACCTCCAATAAAAGTTGACTCACTCATAATATCTGCCATTTAACCGAAGCAAATATAGCTCTTGTCAGTACGCCTTAAAATTCTAATAAATAATGGAATGAAAAAATTCTGGGAATAATATTAAGAAAGCCACATTGTACGGTAAAAAAATGTGCTCAAAAGCATTGCCAAATGTCCTTATCTTCGTTACATAACATTATTTAACTGGCCTTTTATTACTGATTATTTCATCAAGAGCGATAGATATGAAAGTAAATTTTTCTTCCAATCCACACACCATCACCTGCCACCTAAATACCACTTTAATGGCCGTAAACAAGATTTACAATCTAAATCGAATTTTCGAGTTTGAGAATATTTCGATTCGCAGAATCAATTAAGAATATCAGAATCTGTTCACTCGCCATTTGCGGTTTTGGAGCGTAAAGAGGATTTTCATATGGTATATAAGTATTTGAACAGAGAAAGGATGACAAACATGTGTCAATTGGACATCCTATGCGTATTACGTGCGTTAAGAATATACGATTTCCCTTTTTCTTTTCTATATTTCATAACCTTTAATTTATTATGAAATATTGAAATATTGTTTTCGTTTATATAATAAATAATAAAAATTTATACAATATATATAAAAAACATACTCGTTCAAATTCTACGTTTAAATAATTTCTCTTTTTGTTTCGGTTTGCAAATCTATTTCTTTTTCTTCTCAGTGTGATTAAGTGCCAACAACAATATTAAGCATCTGTTTGATTACAATTCATTCACATCAGAGTCAAATATGTTTTCGCTTATACCGTTAAGTTAATGTATAACAAAAATTTGAAAATTAATTCTATCATCTAAACTATATATTGAAATTTGATGAAATTTTGTATGACCATTCCGAATTTCATCTTCTACGGCTAAATGAAATTTCAGTGAAATGTCTCCATCCCAAGTCAAGAAAAATGCATATTTTCAGAACTCGTATGTTTTGCAAGCGATTTTTACGGTTCAAACGAAATCTGATATTCTGAAATGGGCTGGACTTGAAAATCTCTATATTGAAAAGAAATAATTGCATTTTCATAGAGAAATTAATTTTTTAAAAATCTTTTAAATATACTTTCGATTGTATATAAATAAATGTTTTCAATATTTTATTGTTTATACACGAAATTTTTCTATACACTTATGTATGTGTGTATGCCAAATGCAAACATGCTATTTAAACTTGTTATTGCTCTCATTAGCATCTACTGCGGGGAGAAAGCCATTTGTAGAGATAGCATTGACAAGTTTTGATACAATCACTGTCACTGTCATTCATATGTGAAAGCTTTGTCGCTGACGGTTGAGGGGGAAGAAGAGAGAAAACCTTTCATAATTCTGTACAGATGCTCTGTGATTTTTACTATGTTGGTGCATTCCGTCCGTATGAATGAAGATATGAAGTGATTTTTTCGTGACTTTCTGGACCACGATGTATAGAAGATATAAACGAATAGGTTTTCAAATCCGTTATAACACTCCAAGAACAAGAAATTCTAGATCTCAATTGTAGCAGGGTTTCACGGCCTCCATTTAAAACCTTCAAGATAACTAATCCACTAGGTATACATATATGAGAGTTTATTAAACAAAAATTCAACTCAACTAATTGATGCAAGGCATTTATCTTGAATAAACTTGCATTCTCTGACGATTTACTTAATTGATCGTGCAAGAAGGACGCCTTCTGCAGACTTTATTTTCGAAATTTGTAAATAAATCAGCTAATAACGCTTAGCCTTAGTCTTAAATTACTTTAAACTTTTTTCAAGTAAAGAGATATGTGTTTAAAAATATTCAATTTGCTTTCATATGTCTGTGTACATTAAAGTCGGCAAGAAAATTGTATTCAATTTGACCTGGGAATCTCTTATGTTCAACATATGCTTGCGTTCGTTATATGTTATATTAAAAGTACATTCATGACAATTGTATAAATGTAAGATGCTATGTAAATGCACTCATTTCATAATCTACAGTAGCTCAGTCCATATTTGATGCGTGTAAGAGATACATATGTACCTATAACGTAATATAAATAAAATATGACATAAACAAGCATTTAAAATAGCACATACGTACATGCACACGAAAAACCAATGCATTTAATATAAGCTGTTTGAAAGGAACTTGTAACGACGTAATTGAAAAACTTATTAAACAAGTAAAGGCTAGATTCCAATTTCCAGAACTAAAATTTCAAGTAAAAGAATTTTAGATCAAGTTTACTGTTTATCTATTATAATGTTGAGAAGTCTAATTTCAATGAGTGGAGATATACTCCATATGCGATTAGGTAAATGCGCGTTGTCTATATTCTAATGGATTCTTCTTGGAGATAACAAATGAATCACTCAATTGCAACGAATTACGTGTCGAATTATTGAACGGGTTTAAAAAACACATAATGTACGAATAGAAACAATTTCTCTTAAATTATACTAAACAATTGTTTATTCACAATAGATACATATGTTTGCCTATACAAAAGCTCTTAAACGTATCCTAGAAGAGATGATTTTATAATTATGCTTAAATTGTATATTTTTTGAGCTTAATATCTATAACGCCACAAACAGTTTTTTGCGGTCAACAGTATAAGCCCTGTCCTTCGTTTTTTTCAATATAGTGATAACAGTATTCTTTTTGAGACGGTGTTAGACCCATGGTATCTACCTCCGTTTTGAATTGTTCCACACCTCCCACGCCTACCAAGTAACCATTCAATTTGGTGGCTACATAAGAGGTTCTTAAAAGTTTCGAATTAAGATTAAGAGTTTCAGAAAGATCACGGTGACCTTGTAAACGATATTTTTGATGATAACTAAAAAGTAGAGATAAAGTAAATATTAAGACGTTATAATTTTTTTGATGCTAATTACTTACTCTTCTGCTGGATAAAAATTGCGTTTGGGTGCTATTTCAGTGGTAATAACTTCGGGAGTACGTCTCTTTCCTTCCTTAGCTTTGGAAAGTTCAGCAATTTGTTTTTGTTCGTCATCGTGGTAGAGTATTAGCGACATGTATTGCCTCTTGATGACGGTGGTTAAGCCATATTCGTGATTATTCCAAAATATATGTAAAAGCTGTTGATACGATATCACCGTAGGATCATAATCAATTTCCAAGACCTCAGTATGATCGCCTCTATAGGTGAAAAGATCACGTTTGTCAAGAGAAGAAGAAGAGGAAATTGGATTAGTTTAACACTGATTATCAAAGCAACTTACAAATTACGGTACGTTGGCTGATCCTTTGTGCCACCGGCATAACCTACTGTGGTACGTAGAACACCACGAGTGCCTCCGTATAGAGATTCCGCGCCCCAAAAACAGCCCATACCAAAGGTAGCTGTTTTAAAGGCTCTATCCAGATGATGCACTGGTGCTATATTCAATTCTTTTTGCTCATTACGTACAATGCTCTATATAACATAAGAAGGATAAGATGAAGAGATAAGAAGGAAGTAAACTATAATTAATCTGAAAATAATTACTAATGATTTTTGGTACATTTACAATGCTTTGTATGACGATGTGAAGTGAACTAAATATGCAATGCTTCAAATCGCTTTGATTTCCTAAAACCAGTGCTAAAGAACCGACAGCAATCAAAAAGTTAAAAGTCGCCATAGTGCTTCACTGAACAACACACGATTAAAAATGCCGAAAAGTATTAGATTCTACCTGAATGAAACCACCATCTTCACGTATTTACATTGAAATACTAATTAGACATTGGATAACGGGGTTCAACGCACGTAAAGTTGAATTGCAAAATCAATCTTAATACTCTCATTTCTCAGTTTCTGTTTAGGTCAGTTGTTGTTTGAAGTAAACACACATGCACACGTATACAGACGAGCTTTGCATGGCTTGCTTGCCTAAAACGAGTGTGAGAGAGTACATCATTATTCTATTGAAAAATGGAGAAGGCCAAGGTCGTGAAAAAAGAGAGACAAAAAGAAATGTAGTGTGGAAGAAAAAAAAGGAAAATTAAAATATTAAAACTTAAAAAAAAAAAAAATATTGAAAATAATTTAAAACAATCACAACTGTTCGATTTACTCCGAAACGACTTAGAAGACGTGAAATCATTTTATTCTTTGGATTTTCTACAGTTTTTGACAATTACTCGGTACGCGATTTTACTATTATTTGCTTGAACGTTTTACGTTTTAAGGTGAGAAACAAACTAATTGTGAAATAGGTTTTCGTACTGAAAGTTTGTAATGAAAGCTTTCTTCGATTATTGTTGGAGAAGAATTGCGTTTAAAATAAATCATAGAATTATTGAGTAGCAGGTTTATCTTTATATTAGATTCACTTACCAAATCTTTCAACTGCGGCGCTTGAATGTCTTCAGCGTTTATAGACATTTTATTGTTGTTTTCTATTTTAAACTCCGCGTAGCTGAAAGTATTGCAAAAAACTGTCGATTTGAAACATAACTAACCGATTTTTATACTGTTGATAGCTCGAGCTTTCGCTATTAATTTTCTCTACACTCTCGAGCCACAAGCTTTTTATTTACACAAATTTTCTATGAATTTTGAATATAAAAATTATGTTTTCGTGTTCATTTCTATTTATGAGGCTTGATCTTGTGAATCTTTTTAAGCAAACATTTCATTTATTTGGTTCAAATTTAATTCTACTTAAACGTAATATGAAGTCCAATAAAAACATCTGAATTTTTATTTCTTTCGGATTATCGGTGACATAAAATCCAGCTACACCAGCTTTATGCAAAGTAGACTGTTGATCCCGCACTTTCTGATCCAATAATGAAATCAATTTCATATCGGTTTCTTGCAACTTCCTTGTATGCTTTATTCTCATCAATTGCAAAATATGCTGCAACTCCTCTTGGTCATGTATCTTTGAAATCCATTCTTGTACCTCAATTTGATATTCATTTTCCACTTGTTCTCGCAATTGATGCAAATGTTTTTCCGTAACATGCTGTATCTCCATTAGACCCTTAACAATTTCGAATATGGTGTCATTGAGCAAAGAATTTGCCAATTCCGTGAGAAGTTCATAGGAAATACGGGATTGATACACTCTGAAACGGTAAATACATTTCTTTTTCTTTTTTACAATGTTTCCTACACACACTTAAACTTAATAAATTATTTACTCCGGTAAATTGGATTGCATTTGCTTCAATTGGTCGACAAGAAAATACAATTTTCTTTGAAGATATTCAGGTGTCATATTTTCTTCTGTAACATTTGTAACAGGAGATTTTTTACAATTTATTTGATCCATTTTTTACATTTTATGTTTATATATCTTCTAGTTTGTAGTTGACTTCATCTTGTTTAATATTTCATTTCGGGTAATTGTTTATTCCTTTTGTAGCATGGTTGCCACGATTTTTAATTTTATTGTTATTTAAAACAAACACATGTAATCAGTTATTTATCACGTACTGTATACGTACACAGTATGGCGAACTTATTAATAATATTTATCTATAAAATTTGATAACTCTCAACGTAAGGAAACAAAAACAAAAAACAAAAAAAAACAGTATTGATCCGTAATTTTTATAAATTTCGCTTTATATGTTTTGTGTAAAATAGTAACTGGTACGTAAATTAATAAGAGTTTCTAAGCAACGAATTGGAAAAGTTATCTTCCGTACTAACCTTGAGATCATGGCATCACATCAAGAAAAAAAAAATATAAATATATATATATATTACAATTTTTTGTGATTTCCAGATGAGTAGCACCCATGTTTAAGTTTTCACATTATTTAGCACACTTCGTCAATCTTTTAATCAATCAATTAATTCAGAGAATTCACTACGCGTAGGCGAAAAAAAATGTCATGCCGTCTAATGCATGTTTCCCTGACTGAAAAGAAATGATAAATATAGTAAATTTATATATTTTAGTCTCGTCTAAATCGGATCCTTCCCATTATTTTACAACAGTGTAAGATTGACTATTGCGAAATATTAAATGTTCTGCAAAACATCAACCCTTTAGACTAATTTTCTCTTCATTTCGTTTCTTTTCTTTTTTTGTCTGATTGACCATTCAGGCAAAATCGCCTTAAACAGCGGAACATATAGTTGTCCGGAAGAATTGTAGGTAGGGAAGAAGAAAAAGCTAAATAGTATTAGTGTACGTTCGGCTTGAAAATGGATGCATTTGGAATAATGGGAAAGATAATTGATGATAGATTGTTTCAAAGATCAAACCTACCTTTGGTGGGAAACTCTCTTTTATACCTGAGGAGCATTTGTCCTGTATATGCCTATTAATAAGCACAACACATTCCGATGACGCTTTTTTGTATCGCTTTTAAAAAAACAAAGTCCTTAAGTGCATCCTTCCATGTTCCGAATACATACGTTGTTCAATGAAAGTAATTTTGTATTTCCTATCCCTTAAGAGGCAGTATTGTGTATCAGTACCGTTAAAATTTACCATATATGCCCGAACCAATTTAGATATTGCTACAAGATGACAATTCGTTCTTATCATGCATCATTTACTTTGTAGTCTGATGCTGTAGTATCGCTTGTTGGAGAAGAACGAGTGACATAAGATGCTGTCGTTTGCCAATACAATACAATAAATATAGTTTGATAAATTTCATAAATACATAACAATATATAGCTCAACACGACAGGATAATGTAAAATTCTTATTAATATCTGACTGACTTTGCTCGGTCAGTTCGACGGAAACGGAAAGAAAAAAGCCAACCTTGAATTTAAAGCAAAAAAATAAACAGTTATTTTTTAATGACAATTAGTTTTATTGACAAAAAATAAAAAAGTAGCATACATTTTTGCGAAAATAATATATATCAACTATGTGGAAGCTTGGCATTACTATTATTTTTCTTCTTCTATGTTTTAAGACATCAGATGCTTATACATTTTTACTGAGTGCCGTAGGATTTCTCTTTGTTTTATAGGAGAGGGAGAGAGTAGAAACTTTTTGAGTTATATTTCATAAGTATAAAGCTTAATACGGTACTTTAGTTAACACGTTATTTTCTCATAATAATTTACAAAGCACGACAGTGAATCTGAACTAAGTTCTTATAAGGAAAAATTCAATCAATATATTATAAAAATTATAATTAAAAGGTTAAATTGTCATTCAGTACAAACATAAAAAGAAAAAAGTCATTAAGGAATAAAAACTAAGCGATTCTATTAGAATCGTTGTTTTGACACTTAAAAAGTTCCTAAAGAAACCAAAGAAAACAATAGTTTCGGCATAAAGACCAGAGCACAAAAATGTATACTGTTTCCAAAGGTCCCAGTAAAATTGTGGCCAAAACACGCAGAGGTAAGGATTCCAGGACTGCTCTTCCAAAATGAATTCTAGTCGGAAGACTTCTTTAAAGGAAATTTGTAAACTGTTATGTCATAAGGAAATATATATGAGCGATATTTATTGAGGTATTATAAAGAGAGCAACGAGTGACAAAGAACATTGAATGAGTGAAATACAGAAACCAAAAAAAAAAAAGAAAAAAATTAGGGCTGTAAGTTATGTTCTATGCCGGTTGTTTTTTATATTAATTTAAAGAAAAACACTGAAAGAATTCATTTAATTTAATAATTACTGTCGAAATCTGTTTTCTTTAAAAAAGTAAATATTTTTATATATGTGTTTTTCCACACCTTACAGGTTTATCGCAAAACTTTGAAAAATTTGAAACAATTAAGGAAAGCAGCAGGCGCAATAACGACTCAAACAGCCCCGAAAAGAATGTGTAAGTACAAGCGAAACGTTGTAGGAGTCGAGAAGACATATGCATACATATATATTATGAACTACTGCATGTTGTTGTACTCGAATTTTCATTTGAATAGATTTTTCTATTACTTAACATACGTAGCATAAGCGGAGATAAAAATTGAGAAATGAGATAAAAGAAATATAACAGATATATACTACCGGCGCTGCGTAATAAAAGAGTGAGAGAAACAATAGCACGTGATTTCATTTAATAAGTTTATTCTTCGCCTAAACAATATGAAAATATGTAAATATGCACTATTTGTACGTCTTACACTTCCATTACATTTCATATGTTTTTGCATATCAGCTTGTGAACTTGAACATCTACATCTGCATGTATAGATCATATGTTGTTCGTAGGTTTATATAAATTTTAGATTGCATAAATGCATAAAATTGAAAAGTAAGAAGAGCGAAATATTCTCCCAAGACTAGAGACATTTAATTTTGCTCTTGTTCTGATCAATCAGATTGCTGTTACATAAATTAACTGACTGACGACAACCATCTCTTGCATATAAAAATTAATAGTCAGAAATGTTTGTTTTTCCTCCTTTTTGTTTTTGTGAATTGCAAAGATCATAATCAAATTAGCAATAATATATACATAAATATTATTTCATTTATTGTCATTTAAATATAATAAAGAAATGTAAAAAAATTATTGTTTTATTTATGGTTTAGGTCGACCCTCTGAGAATAGAATATATACATATTTACCTTCTATTTTAATTATTTATTTTTTTTATTATTCAAACAAGTAAAATAAATTTTAGTTATAACATTTTATATAAAACAAATTCAGAAAACAATTCAATATTCAACAAGAGAACATTTAAATTGTAGTTACACTATATTTTATATATATCTATACGCATGAAGCTTGATTCAATTTATTACTTATACAATGTTATAGACACATAACATATACTGATATGCACATATATTATTATTTAAGCGCACGATACATTAATCAAGACCAGTCAAAACTCCGAATATACTAATAAACGGCAGCCCGTCTAAGTAACTCTAGCCAAGTTGCAATTTAGTGCTCCCACATAAAAAGTGTAACAACAATAAAAGTAAACCGTGCCAAACCGTAGCAACAGCAACAACATATTTTTACTAAAATTGAAATTTTGTTTAAGATTTTTTCTTATGTCTTTATGTGCAGTATAGCTGCACTGACCGACAGGCTAATCTAGTCCGTCTTATACCAATTTGAACTATTTGAATGAACATCGCTTCATGGCTGAATTGATTGCTTGCATCATAATTAAGCAATTGATGTCTAAGTGCTACTTGCGTGATTGTCAATAAATTGATTGATTATCCGCAAACCTATTAAAGAAAGAAGCAATTATATGATCCATCACGCCTTATATCTATTACAGATAGTGTTCGCTTTCAATGAATTTAGCTTTTCGTTTTTAAGTTTTGTGCCACGATATCATACATACATCAGTCGAAATATCTGGCGTCAATCTAAGAAATTATTTATCGAAAACTATTATATATTTAAGAGTGGAAGCAAAAAAGGTCCCTTTCAATTCATTGTAAGTTTTTTTTTATTATTTTAAACGAGCACTGAAAAAATTAAAAGTCGGAATTAGGCTCTTGTGCTACCAAAGAACATTACACCTAACTTGTTGTTATTGGAGTCTCTAATGTGCATACGTTCGATACAATACAAATATAATAATGAACTGAATATGCGACTGCAGTAGTAGCTTACGAAAATGTAGATCAAAGAAGCATTAAAATGCTACCCACTGAGCGGCACTGATAACATTTGAGATTTGATTAGAATTCAATCTGGTTTTTTAATTCAAGTTCTATAATTTGCTTTGAAATCTCTTAATGAACATTAAACTAATTATATTTATTTATTGTATTTGGTTTTTCAAATTCAAATTCTGCTTTCAGTGTTCCGCGGCCAGTTTTTCAAACCAAAAAGTTTTATACCCACACAAAGATTGTTGAAGAAGAGGCTATTACGCCCCAACATGAGGAAATCATTAAATACATAAATGATTGTAAGTTACAAACTTTGATAATATTGCGCATAATTGATAATTCAATGAAAATGTCATTTCGTATAGCTTGGAATATAGTCGTAGCTCAAAATCCGTACGATCGAACGCCGAGTAATCTACCCACAGCTGATGCCAATAACAACACCGGTAACGAACATTATGATAAGTGATATCATGTTTATAATGAGTTAAAAGTTTCTCTCTTTCTCTCTCTCTCTCTTTTTCTCTCTTATGTTTCACTCACAGCTACCTCCCTGGCTAAGGCGTATAGCAGTTCGGCACAAACGGCTTCTTCACTTTACTGCGTTGAGCCACCTAGTCCAGTTTTAAGCGATTTCAAGCCTTTTGATCTGGAATCATGGTGGGGTCGTCGCTTGTTTAACAATATCACAAAAAGTCTGTGAATTTATTTTTCGCATTGTTGCGTTTAACTTTTCATAAGTATAACTTGGTACTTTTAAGCTTAAGTTAAAATGAAAAAGAAGGAAAAAATCGCTTGCAATTATTATGCATGTATTTGAGCGTGTGAATCATTCAACGCTTCCGGCATAATCCTTTTTCCCCATAGACTATCTCTTTAAGGCAACAATTAGTTATTTTAGTAATTCTTCCTCATAAAACTTGATATGTTAAATCGCCTTTTGCTTTGTTTTGTAAAATTTTACATTTATTTAAATAAGTTTCAAAATTTAAAACCCGATACCTTTTTGCCTAATTTTATTCTATTAAATTTAATTGAAAATGAAAAAAAAGCAACGAAAAGTAAAGATGCACGCATAGACACAACGAATCTTTAAAGTGATCTTTTGTTTTTATTCTTGCTTAGTGGAAATAATAATAAACGATTCATTTACTTTGACTAACCTTATTGCTGCAAATGCATTGAGCCCGTTCGCATAGCTGCAACCTTTTTTAATGAATTCTTGCAAAGTTTTGATTAAACTGTTTGGCGTCGTGCTTGACGTCGTGATTCTCTTTACGTTTCCTCATCGATCTTCTTTTATTATTCTCATTAATGATGCTACTGCTCTTGTTATCGTTAATATTGGTAACTACGTTTCTTATTATTATCGTCACTCGGTGCCCGAATTAACTACCAAATCGCCTGAGTAGTCGAGTAGGTAAGAACCAAAGTCAATTTTCGCGGGTTTGAATCTCAAGTCTACTGAGTGCTATGTCGGGTAAGGGCGTAATACTAATCGATTGGACACACATCCACTGGGTGGCGGCCACTACCTCCCTATTTTTTCCTCGTTCCTGCTCTTCTATCTTACCGTCCCATGTTACACGAATAGGGGACGTCTCCCGAATGTGCAATTCACAGTAAAAAATTAAAAATAAATGATGACGTCATATATAAAGGAATTTTCCCGCGATAACTAAATTGTCCTTTCTTGTGAAGTGTAGTCCCCTTCGTGTATGCGAGTATTAAAATGATTTAAAAGATATAACCACATTCCGTACATAACACTGTTCGATTATATTTTAACAAAAATCAATTTTATCCGATAATTGGAAGAGGTCTGCAGGAGGTGCATGGAAATCAAATATTACTGATTGCTGATAATCGGAGTACACATCGTGCTTAATCACAGCTAAATTTTTATTCTTGTTACTTTTCCGTAAATAAACTAACACCCATGTAAGAGCTTATAAGTATTTAAGACACTGCTAGCTTATGTTCGACTTAATGCTGGTCTTGGATAGTCTGCATTTAAAGTTTTAAAAAGCAAATTGGCGAAAGAAACAGCATACGAAAACTTGTTCTTAAAGACGATCTTCAGATTACAATGGAAATTCTTTCCTCCTATTGCTTCCAGTAATATAAAAGAGGAAAAGTGTAAACGAACGCACTAAAATAAATAATGGATTTAGGAAAAGATTACAAGCCTAGAAAAAAAAAATGATAGGATTGATTATGATAGCTATTTCTTTTCTTTTTACATCAAAACAAAAGAAGAAACGCGATGCGAAATGGTTCGGATCTGATCACTTCTTCGGCCACTTCCCATATAACACTTCATTTTAAAAAATCATTACGGGAATAACTGCATTAGGACAGGGCCTACTATTTAATACCCTACATCACTATAATGTTTTAACATGCTTTTTGTATAATTGAAAATAAAAAAATATAACAAAAATAAAAAATAAAATATTTTTTTTTTATTTTACTCATTTTTTTTGAATTAAAACTATATGGCCTCGTCATAATATGTTATGCTTATGTTTAGCTTGTTTGAATCAATAAATGAATTTAAACTATATGAACAAATACAATATCATTTAAATTATGCCAACGATTCTCATAAGTAACCGCGCAATCATCCAAAAGGAAAAAAAAAATTTAAATACTTGACCTGATTAATAAATTCTGCGAGTGTTTCTGAAACTTAATCCGGACCGATTTTTTTTTTTTAATTAGAGCAGCACTTATAGGAATAAAAAACATTTCATTTAAAGTACTCTCCATCGTAAGCTTCCCCCTTTTTATAATCTCGCTGTCCTTCATTGTGAGGGATGTTAGGGTAGTTAGTGCAATTGGCTGTACCATTGATAACCACGCATCCTTTGACTTCTTGCGCTTCCGCTATTTCAGTGTGTTCATTTTCCATCACGCGCCAATACTCAACGACGCTTTCCTTTGAATCAGCCAGGAAAAATAATGCTTCCGTCTTTGCTGTTTGTTTGTCATAAAATTTCACTGATCCAAAGTACTCAAAACTTCTCTTGTGTACATTTCAGCGGGATGACTTAGACTATTAAACAAGGCTTAACGATAGTACTTTTGCATGGAGAGGTCACCATCTAATGAATGTTAGCGGACGTAATAATGTCTAACGCCATCTCTCAGAAAACTTATCTGTCCATCTGGAAGATGGGAACTTGGTAATGTTTGTTCCTGTATTCTGTGATACTAAACATATATGCATAGACAAAAAAAAATGTATCTAGGATTTGGATTTTGGAATCGTTTTCAAAATTATATTTATTTAGAATATAAATTACTTCAACCATTATATTCCTATATAAACTTACTTTTCAATAATAAAAAAGTATCGGAGAGTAACCTTTTCAAATCAAAAGAAACTTATCTCAATTAAGATTTCACAGAACTTTGTATAACCATATGTTTTTCCTTTTCGTCCGCTGGTTTCTCGCTGCGAAGTTGCTGTATTTAAAGTCATGTGCCTGTCTATTATATTGGGCATACACTTTTCTGATGGCTGCTGCGACATCCAGTTAGCACATGTAAGAAATGTGGTTCTGCGTTATAAGGTGATAAAAAAAAATTGTCTCTCACAAACGAAAACCTTACTTACGATGCTTGCAAAAAGCTCTTGCAGAGGGCTCGAATCGCTTATATAACGTTGAGGTATAAAATCCAGTAAGTAATAATACACAAAAGTTACACATTATTTTCCGTCATAAAAGCGCGCATATTAGAGCAATTTTTATATACGATGGTATCTAAAAAATAGACCTACGTGATCGAAATTCGGTAAGGTTGATTTCAATGTTAATTTACTATTACGAACTAATTTGCACTATGAAATGTTAAAAATTAGATCTTCTTACTATACAAAGATTCTTCTTTTGGAGGAGGGTTTATATGAGAGGGAGTTCAAAATCATTGCCACATCCGATCCAATGCTTTCACACCCATTTAGAACATCGAAATGGTATTATTAAGCGACTTTGAAAGTTATTTGGAACGTCGTTATATAGGACCGATCTGAACTATTTCCCATAGCGATCGTCCTTGTTCCAAAGCATTTCAGTGTACTAAATTTATCAAAATATCTCAAAAATTGCGACATATAGATTGAACACATGGGCAGAAATTAGGTAGACAAACAGACATACAAGCTTAGATCAATTCAGAAAATTATTCTGAATACAAGGTGGGTTTACCTGAAGCCCTTCTGAGTAATACATATGCCCGTATAAACTTAACATACTCTTTACCACAAGTAGTGTGGGATATAATAAGGACAATCTTCTTCCGTGAATTGTGCTCTTTTCAAAATGAGTGTTGCACATTTATTCGAAATGAATTTAACTTGATGAAAATTTTAACTAAACAAATTCTAGATTATTCTACATCCACGTGAAATTTATTTCGTTGTGGAATTTGGTTAGCAATTTCCAAATTTCTGAGTGTTCCGTGAATGTTGATAATACTGTTGAAAAGAAAGCCAAAAGATTTCTTATTGCAATCGTCATGCAGTCTGGTTGGCCCCTCTGCGATTGTGGTCATATTAAAAAAAAAAACAAACGCACGTTATAGCCACATCCAATTTTAACGAATCATTCTTTTCAGAGTCGCGCAAAATATATCTTGAAAACACCAGAAACGGCAATTCGTTTGTGGCACCAACTTGATTAAAAGATCAGTTTTGTTTTTGATTGCGTTTGTTTATTTGATTTAGGTTTTTTAAATAAAAGGCTAAGTATTGTGTGTGAGAACTATCAATTTATTGTGCTTTTATAAAAATTGCATTGTTTTCAATTTATTTTTAAATGAGGTCAAGTAAAAACTATAAATTATTTTATAAAATTGATCAGGAGTTAGGACAGAATAACGTATGTGCACCAATTAACAATTTTTAGGTAATAATTATATTCACATAATTTATCATTAAATTTATTTAGATGAGGTGAAGAACAACAAGTGTGCCGCAGATTAAAAAAAAGTAATTAAAGAGTTCAGCGTCTTTTCGTTAATTGGATGTATAATCAAAAAGACGCTGTACTGATCTGGTCTAACTTTATATACAGTGCAAATTGTTATATTAAAATGTGCTTACGGTTACATGCATTCTTCGGTTAAAAATTGTAAACTTCTTTCTTAAAAATAAGTAGAAACATTATAGCGGGCCCAGGTCAGGCCAGTCGTTAAATTGATTTCCTTCCCTAATAAAATATTGGAAGGTAGATCTACTTTCGCTGCAGACATAATTGTTATAGCAGCCTTTATGTGCCAGTGGGTCTAAAGTGTGAACTGACAGTAGTCCATATTTAACAAAATTAATTTTCTGCTCAAAGACCCCTTTATTCCTCACGTAGGTAGTTTCGTAACAATGTACACTAAAAGGGCTCATTTGATGCCATATGAAAACTTAGTTATCATGGGAATACTTACATTGAGAGGAAACCAGAAATTCGACCTAGAAATACATTTGATATTGTTTACTTTTAAGTTTAATTACTAGTTTAGACTACTTTGATTCATAAGATATCAAAAATTAGGCCGTTCCGCTATAGAAAGGCTAACTTTCTGCCAAATCGATTATAATGAAGAGGACTCAAAAAATGGGCCCAACCGTTTTCAATTAGTCACATTAATTTAGTATGCCGCAAGTGATTCTTGTCGAGAAGTTTTGAAAATCGCAAATGCTTTTTATGCAATGACTTTTTCAAGATGAGATGTAAGAATGTAAATACGATGGCCAAATTATTTCCTATAGGTTGAATATGAAAAACGAGTGATAGACAGCTTAGGTCAATGCAGAAAACAATTTTAAATTGATCGGAATATTAAAAGGTGGGTGAGTGTTACATACATCCGCACAAGCTTAATATATTGATTATTGATAACTTAAAAAATATTTAAAGCAAACTTATACGTACGTATATTAACTAAATGTAAAAAAACTGTAAATAGGCGAACAAACGTTTAAACTCCTCAGTTTCGTTGCATTCCATAGTTAAATCTAGCCACTAAACTCTTGGAGAGAATTAATCTTAAATCATAAATATAAGTCTTTTCAGTCAACTTAACTAACAGATGAGCTTCTATTTACATTTTAAACTTTTAGATAAATATTCTAACACTATTCTTTATATGGTTTTCCTAATCGCAGTCATTCTTTTTCTGTAAGCGTATAAATTTAAAATACTTTCCAGGGGGTGAACAACGATTGCTAATATTAGCGACCGCGTTATACGCCATGTACATATTGTCTTCCTTTATACCATGACTTATTATGGTGCCCTTAAATGTGCACAATTTTTTTGAATTTTTATAGCTGAATAACGGATGGTGAACACGCCTGAGATGAGCTCTTTGAGCACACATACCAGTTATGTAAACGTCTTCCAAATAAATAAGACTTGTATTCAAAGCAGCCATATAAAGTTCCGGCACCAGATCCATGGACATCATGTAACCGGCACCGGATAGATAGGTTGGATATTTATCACCTGGATACATATACGAGGGCATATACCATTTACTTGAAACATTTTCGACAGGCCGTACAGAACAGAATTTATGTCCCACCAGATATTTGATAGTAGCATTTAAACGTCCGGCTGACGTATGCAACAATTTAATTGAATGCTGGTCATAGAAGTCTAATGTATCATTATATAAAGGTATTGTACCGCCCAAAAGGAAGTGCAATAGATTCGGCACATTTACGAATGTGTCATCATCACATTTCATGAAGAAGGCAGCCTGCTGATGGCAGCCGTTATTGATAATCCATTTCAGAGCCATGACAGATTTCACGGTTAGATTATTGTAGGTGTCGATGAAATTCTCTTGGATGATGTCATCATACTGTTCGGCTTCTTGACGTATGCGCCAAAGTGTTTCATTACCCTCCAAATGTTCACCACGACTGCGCCCTACTAAGAAAAGAATACGCACCGGCAAGTTAGGAGGTAAATTAGTAGTGGTTTGCTAGAAGTTTGAAAATGTTTAGTTATCAAATTAAAAATTATATGTTTAACGTGCATTAGGCCGCGCAAACACACATGCACTTACGTTGCCCTGCAATTTGAGATAATCTTTATAAAATTCTATTCGTTGTTGTTTTACAGGATAATACTTGTCCTTTAGATGCGCGTGTAATTGCTCAAACTGGCCATAGTTGAATTCAGTGATATTAGCCCAAGTTTCGCGTATCGTTTGTCTAAATATCGATTTACAATTAAAAAGTGGAAAGGAAAACGTTTATAGAAATGCGTGCATATATATACATATATATATATATATATATATGCATGTAGGTAAAACTTATTAAGTGCTTATAGATTCTTATGTACTTAATAAGATTTACGCGTCAACCGACGATGTATATTCTAACGGGTCTCAGTTTCATGTTTTGAAGCGTTTCAGACACTTCCTATATGAGGATGTATGGTTAGTAAATTATTCTGTTATTGGGTAGATTGCTTTTATTACTCACCTTTCAACGAAATTACGCATGCTTGAACAAACCATTATCAGTAAAAAGAGTTTTTCCTGACAAATATGGCGAGGTTCCAGTAAAGTGGTGTCATTATAGGGCAAGACATAATCGGTCACGTTACGTGAAATGTCAAAACTCCAGTCAGATAAAGCATCTGTAAGATCAAAAACTATCAAATTTAAGACTCGTAAAGTAGAATATGGGAAGTATCATCTTGAAGGCACACTTACAATGTCTTGACGAAAGATCATTGAGTATCATAAATAAAAACCATGGCACCATAAACGCTGCGAATACACAACAAACTAAGCGTTTGCCTAATTTGCATGGTGTATGATAACAACGACGCGGTTTATAGCCACGCAGTGCGACGCTAACTTTAGCCCGAAATTTATCGGACCTTTTCAAAAATTCTGCTTCCGCCTTAGCAGTGCCTTCTTCATCTTCATCCGACGAGGCTTGAGTCGAATTTGAACTATTGGATTTCAACGGAAGTAAAATGTACTTTCCTTTCTGTATTCGCATGATGATGAATCACACACATTATATTTTAATGGTCTCACAGCAATGAATGAACATTAAACGTAGCGCAATTCAACAGTAGTTGTAGTAACAGAAAATTTGTGTATTCAACGCAAGTAAACATATACACAAAGATGATGTGATTTTAATTTATTGTAAGACAGGCCTCGTAGAAAGCATTTGCGATAATTTAATAATATAAGAAAGTCAAGCGGTACTAATCTATGAATGAATATACAAAGAAATGGAAGGAAGTGAAAATTTGGTCAGCGATTCTACGCCACTACAGAACGTTGAATTCAAACCCAAATCTTATGCAACAAGTTTTCGCTAAATTTAAATGTGTCACCATATTTTACCAGTGCTGATGCAGTTACGGTCTTATTTAAATTTCTAAAAAGCTTTTTTTTTTTGTGTATGGAAAAAATTCATTTTGTGAAGTGACAATTTTTAACGTTCCTGACACTTCTAGGTCAAGTTCCAAAGTGCAGGTGCGCAATGACCATATACATTTTGAGAATAACGATATTTTTATACCCATCATAGGAGGTACATTTAATTTGGTACGTGTTTACGATGCATTGTTATGGGGGTTAGCACCCATTGCATATATTTTCTTGGTCAAATGGAAGATAGAGATGGCCCTGATTATGTGGTTGCAATTTTTATTTATATCCCATATAGGTTGGAGTTTTTGTTCAGTTGTATATCGTTATCGAAAACACAACTACGACCATAAAACTTCGCTTAGAAGAACAACCTCGATTTTATATCCCTTGAAAAATCACATTTGGAAATCAATATGCTGACAAAGATAATGCATCTTGATTGGCTTTAAAAAATCATGCATCAACCAAATATTTCTCCTTAAAGACAAATTGATACAATTTAAAGCGCATTATCTGTTCTGTAACAACTAAATCGGTCTTAAGTGCAGCCTAACATTTTAACCAAAAGATAGAGATAAGATAAGTGTTGCCGGAAAAAAAACTTAAGTGAACTTTTTAAAAATAAACAACAATAGTCGTCTTTATTGCAGCTTTAAAGTGATCATTCAAAATTGCAATGTTAGATTAGATAACCAAATAGTAGTAGTTATCGGGTGATTACGCAGTAGATAAACACCTGGCGGCTTGCATGTATATTTTCATAAAGACATTTATTAATGATTTCGCTTATTAATCTGCTTTTAATATCAACACTAAACCGTTAGCATATGTTTATAAGTCATATGATATGCGTTTTTCTATATAAACATGCATGTACAAAGAGCTTGCCTAAGAGAATTACGGAAGCAGAGAGAACAATGACCTTCAAATATTGCAAGATTCGCAAGAAATTGATGCAGATGCATAAAACGCGTTTGGATTTCTTGCTAAACCTTTGTTTAATTTTTTCTTTCAGCCAGTTACAGATTTCGTAGATTAGTAAATCGCAATATCTATATTTTAATTGAGTGATTTACTTGGTTATATATTATACAATAAAAAATTTGCTCTACAAATCTACACAAGTACCATACAACAAATAATTTTAGTTAATTACATATAAATCTTTGAGTTTATAAATTGTTTTTATTGAATAATAAATTACTTGTTTTATTACTTAAGGCGCGGCTTAGTTTATAACGAAAAGTTTAATTTATAAACAAACGCGTAAACTTTTCTTTCACAAAAATTCACTTACTCCGCGTATTTCACCCTCGCATTGCTACTAACACAATTATATTTTACCAATTGCTTGAAGTGTTGTCAACTGTTAAGCATTCACATATTTTGTAAACTAAAAAGCGTTCATTTAAGTAAAGAGCATATGTAAACAAACATATGTTTTACATATTTATTGTAAAATAAATATAGTCTGGTATAAAATATGATAGATTGAAGACTAGTCTTGACTAATCTTTGTTGCAACGAAGAACAGTCGTATTGAGTCTTATGAGATGGTCGCAGCGTCAAGGGGCGAATTAAATTATTAACAACATCACAATAAAGAGAAAAACAAAACTAATATGCTATTTTAATTAAAGCACAGAATAAGCACTTCCTGTAGGTGCTGTGTGAGCCTGTTCTCCTCTCTTTGAACAAAAGAATTGATGAAAAGAATTTTTTTTTTTTGTAATTAAAAAATAAGTTAACCAAATGAGCACAAATTTAACAAAATTCTCTCTTAAAAGGCGCTTACCCAAGCGCACAGTTGAGCTTCTCTTAGCTAAGCCTGAATGTGATCAGTATAGAATATCTATATGAAACCGGCAAAATTTAAATCATAAATTATTGGAAACCGATAAGTAAGGCGATATTTTTGAATGCTTTTGTTATTAAGACAATATAGTGCAAGCGTGGAGATGTGTCTAAGTCAATATAACATTTAGCGATGTAATGAATCCTTTTTATTAAATGCATACATTAAATGATCAAATGAACATTAACTATCGTTCGGATTTGTGTATGAATGTGCATTAATACGTATTATTTGTTTGTTGTGTATGTGTGCGTACTTTGTTAGAATATTTTCAATTTAATTTACATACATGCATAAATATCTTTAGTCAAATATGTAAGCAGAACGAGGGATTTGAGTTCTCTCGCTAAACTGAACCTTGTTTCGAAGAATTAACGATGAAGTTTGCGGAAAAGGGAACGAATAATCATCTATCTATCTTCTTGATATAAAATTTTGAATGTGAGGTATATAGAGAGGTAAATAAATTTTTTTATGTATGTTAAAATAGTCTGCAATCAAACGCGTATTGTGTTTGTGCTTAAATCGATGATAAAAATTGACCAAGTTGTAAACGTATCTGAGGTTCGATTCGATTGTGGCGTCCCATAGCAGTCATCAAGTGTGGAAATTAAAACCGCCCAAACAAAGCTACCTGGAAATTATTTTGGATACATACTTTCGCCTACAGTATGTATAATTGTTCGTAAATTTGTGAGCCATTATTAGCCTTTTGGGCATTAAAGAAGAAAAATTAGTTGAAAATATCACTATACTTTCCAGTTCCTCCTATACCAGTTTCCTCGTTCAGTTAGCTCGAATTTCCGCATTTTTTAAACCTTTTACAACATATTAAAAAAGCGAAAGTGAGAAACAAGTTAAACAGTCAATTTCTCCAAGATATCAAATTGAATTTACTTATATACTTCATTGAGATCATACAGACTAACATACGGACTAACAAAGGTAAGTAGTTATCATAACGATTAAAAAAGGCTTTAGAGCGTAATCGAAATAATCTGGTCTACTTTAAAAAATTAAGAAAATGTTTAGGACGTCAAAGTTTAAATAACAATTAAAAGCGAATACTGCTTTTTACTACAACATCTTATCTTAAAATACTTATGCAAATTTCAACTACTGGCAGCGCCGGAAGCCGGTTTAAAATTTATTTGCAACAGTGTTTCGTGCCTTAATATTTTGTTTGGTGCCCGTTTACACAATTTATTTGCACTGGAGGTTATTTAAAAAATCGTGAATATAATGGCTGCTACACCATCACCTTGTGACTCTAGCGCTAGTGCAAGTAATAAAAAATGGAATAATTTGCGTAATATTCTGGAACGTGATGGACCTTTCTGTAAAACTGATTTCACGCCATCACCAGACATTCTGGATTTTTTACAAAACACTGCCAAGATATTAGTGATTGGTAAGATAGGATTAAAGAAGTTTCTAAAAAAAAAAAATTTAAACAATTCCAATGTCTATGATTGAATCCTTAGCGTGTTGTGACTGTTCATTCACGTTTAGTATTGTTTAAGTTTGGAATTTTGTGACGATTTAATTTAATGTTTTTTTCGCAATTATATAAATATATTGCAGGTGCTGGCGGTTTGGGTTGTGAATTACTCAAAGATTTAGCTATGATGGGTTTCGGAGACCTACATGTGATTGATATGGATACTATTGAATTGTCCAATTTGAACCGTCAGTTTCTTTTTAGACGATGCGACATTGGTTCGCCCAAAGCAGAATGTGCAGCTAGATTCATTAATCAGCGCATAAACACTTGCAGTGTAACACCGTATTTCGCGAAAATACAAGATTTCGATGATTTGTTTTACACGCAATTTCATGTGATTGTCTGCGGCTTGGATTCTATAGTTGCTCGTCGTTGGATTAATAGTATGATTAACAGTTTGGTAACGTATCAAGAAGATGGTAATGTAGATCCTCAAAGCGTTATACCTTTGATTGATGGCGGTACTGAAGGTTTCAAAGGAAATGTACGTGTAATATTGCCTAGTCTCACCGCGTGCGTGGAATGCACATTAGATTTGTTTCCACCACAAGTTACTTATCCATTATGCACTATAGCTAGCAAACCGCGTTTACCCGAGCATTGTGTAGAATATGTCAAAATTATACAATGGGATAAAGAAAATCCTTTTAGCTGTGCTTTAGACGGCGACGACCCTCAACATATCAGTTGGGTTTATGAAAAAGCTCTTGATAGGGCCAATAAACACAACATTACTGGTGTAACGTATCGCTTGGTCCAAGGTGTCGTTAAGAATATTATACCAGCCGTCGCTAGTACAAATGCTGCTATAGCTGCAGCCTGCGCAAATGAAGTATTTAAAATGGCATCCAACTGTTACGAATGCATGTCTAACTTTATGAATTTTAATGATTTGAACGGCATTTATACGTACACTTATGCTGCAGAGAAAAATGAAGAGTGTTTAGTTTGCAGCAACGCCCCGCAAGCTTTGAACGTTGGCAATCCCTATACCACTACGCTGGACGATGTAATACATATGTTATGCGAGAGTCCTAAATATCAAATGAAAAATCCAGGTAAGTCAAAAAATGCTTAAATCATTAATTCAATAATTTTTTGTTTTTGTATATGCTACAGGCATTACCACCATTATGTATGGGAAGAATAAAACACTTCACATGTCTTCAGTTGGCAGTATCGCAGAGCGTACACGCGCTAATCTAACTATGTCTTTATACCAATTAGGCCTCAGGGACGGTCAACAACTGATGGTAAGCGATGCGACCTCACCTCGCACCATAACAATGCAATTAAAATATAATCTCGTTGATGTAGAAATGAATTAAAAATATCTTGTTTTCTTTTTTTTATGTAATTTGAATCTAAATGTAATACAAACAAAACACGTTGAAACTCAATATATCCATTAAAAAAAAAAAAAAAATGCCAAAATTATTCACTAATTTCTTCAATAACGGGAACATTTTGTAACTCAAAACATTTACGTTTCCACATGGTTAACTGTTCCTTTAGCACTTTTTCTTTAGCTGCAGCACGAGTCAATAACACTTTAGCTTTTTGCAAAAGTTGAGTCTTTTTGTGTAATTGTTCTTTAATGTAGTTTAATTCCTCCTGTAGAGGAGGGGGTGCAACCTGCAAATGGAACTGTTGAGTTTGCTAAAATTCAAATTAAAAAAAAAAACTACCTTCTGCCGGCTTTCGCAATGTGGACATTTCGACGGCGCTTTTAATTTCAATTCCAACGAAGAAATTTTATCCAAAGAGTCATGTAACTTTTGTTGTAAACGTGCAGTATCATTAGCAGCCTCTGAAGAACTCTGTTACAAGAAAACAATAACTAAGTTTTTGACGTGCTTTTCTGTATTGCTGATTACCCTTGATTCACTTGATCTCCTTCCGTCCTTTAGGTATTTATTTTCAGCTTTTAGTTTCTCGACCAAGTTCCGTAATGATAGTATAGTGTGCTCGGCCGATTGTCCTGTTTGAAGATTAACTTTAACGCCACTACATTTACATAACTGGCGTCGTGCCTCTGATGAGGCTATTTCCTCCTTTAAAGCCATTATATAACTAAACAAAAGTTGAAAAATCAATATTAACGTAAGATTGCTTTCGTTCTGTCTTTCTTTAAATATTTACTCTTCCAAATGTTTGATTCTTTTTTGGAAACGTTCGGTTCCATCTCCTTGCCTTAGTAAATCATTATCCAACTGTAACTGTAAATTTTTGGCTTCCAGACGTATGTTTTGTGATTCAATTGTTGACAATTTCTCCTGTAACTTTTCCATTTCATTTGTTAGAGCATGACTACCTTTTCCTGCAAGTTCCATGACCAAAATTTTCCGCTGTTGCATTTCCAAACGAGTTTTTAGCGCATCAATGACTTCTTGATTTTGCGCTTGTACAGTATACTGCATTTTATTATTGGTAACGTTACGAACCGGCGAACTACACTCGCTGCTGCCCGCAGTAACGGTATCAGGGCTTTCGGAAGTTGTGTACTTTACAATCGCAGCATTTGTAGAAATCGGATTATGTAAATTGGGGCAAGATGGAGCGCGACAACATTTTATAGAATGTTTCGTAGTTTGATGTGTGGCTATCAAAGAAGAATATGCGAGTATAAGTAGACTTTCAGTGTTTGCTTTAACTCACCTCTTCCCAGTTTCGCTTCAAGCATCTGTTTATCTTTTTCCAGACGATTAACGGTATTTCTGGCGGATTGCAATAAGGTCTTGGTCTTTTCCAAGGTTGCCTCAGTATCTTCCAGCTTCCCTTTGAGTTTCTCAGCATTTTGTTGCCAACGTTTTTGCTTCTCCCATAGGCCAACCTCATGCGCACTGCGGTGCCGTTTGTTGTCAATTATAACTTTTTGTCGTTGGATTTCTGCACGCGCCTCTTCTAAATCTAATTCTAATTGTTGTGCTCTTTTTTGCAGACTTTCATTTTTTACCCTAGCATTTAGTTCAGTTTTAATTGACACCACTGGACGTTTTATTAATTGATTTCTAAGCGACTGGCTGAGGTCGCGGGCTTGTTTTTCTCTTTGCGTCAAATTCGTCAATTGTTTCTTTAAAGCTTCTACTTGAGCGTAATAGATTTTGTTAGTAGCTTCAGTGCGTGTGAGATCATTAGCAAGCTGAGTTATTTGATCTGTCGTGTAACTGGAGGAATCGGTAATAAACCGTTCTTGATCTTCCTAAAAAAAAAAAAATTTAATTTATAGTAATTTATATAAATAATTTTGTAAATCTACATATACTCACATGAAAATTGTTTAAAGTTTCCAACAATTCATTGATATGCTTATCTTTCTCCTCTACCATTATTCGCAATTGCTCAACTTCTGTATTGTTAGTAATCTCTGAAGATTTTTCACGGTCCTGTAGCAGTTTTACCCTTAAATGTGGAAAAATTACATATTTCTATTTTCAAATAACATGCAACATGTACATTTTCATACTTTTCTTTTAATATAACAATTTCATCTTCCTTGACCTTTAAAGCGCTTTCATAATAGCTGGCCTTGTCTTTTAATTCTTTTAATTGTTTCATTATATTGGTAGGAATTAATAAAGTTTTTGCGTCTTCCAGCTCATGTTTTTCTTTAACAACTTCCTCAGGAGCAATTACTATACTTCCTGTGGCGGAATTGGGAGGCGAATTCTCTTGCTGAAACATCTCCTCAATTTTCTCATCCGTCATTTCGTTTAAACTGTTATCGACATTCTCTTCCGTTTCCATTCCGATAGTGGCCAACTGTAGCTTCTCACTCGAATTTCGTCGTACGCTTATACTTTCCAATTGGGTTTTTAATTCTAAAATTTCCAAATCCTTGTTCTTCATTCCAACATTTAATTGAGTTACTGCGTGATTTAGCCCTTCAATCTCAGCATTCAGTTTGCTAACAGTTAGATGATTTTGTTCTCTCTCAGTTTGCAGTATGTCCTGATATTTACCAATAGATTTATCCTTTTCGCTAAGTAAAGTATGAAAAGAGAGAATAGTTTTCTGCAAGGAAACGTATATATATGGTAATTTGTAAAATTCTATCCGATTGAATATTTAAACAAATTACCTCAATAACATCGGTTTTTGTACTGGCGGGAGATAGTTCTGTGGAAGATTCCGATTCTTTGAGAGCTTGTAAACTATTCAACTTGCTTTTCAATTCCTCTATTTGCAGATTAGCTTGGGTAAGTCTATTAATGAGAGTTACAAAATAAGTTTTTTTCTGTAAAAATCTTTTACATAATCCTTTTAAGAATAAAAATTGCAAATTTTCACAGTACTTTATGATAAATTTGATGATGAGATTTTGAATAAGAATTTGAAACAACATTATATTATCACAGCACAGATAGACTTTTCTTTTAATAGGTTGAGATTCTATTATTAGTCTTGATTACTATTAATGTAAAAAAAATGTAACTGTAAATATTAATTCAGAGTTAAAGTTTGTTACGTTAGGTGGATAGATAGATCGGTTTATAATGATTTAAAATGTTGCTTTTGAATCTCAAATTTATTAAATTATTAACTTTTTCAACAAAAAGTCAGAACACTGCTGGCACTCATAATACATGGAGGTAAAAAAAAAAAAGACCCTGAATGTAAGAACCAAGACCACACCTCAAAAGAATCAATCATCATTTTTTTCTCTTTTGTAGTGTGAAAGTCAATAGCAAAATAGTGGCGAGGATCGGTTGATAAATATGCTTATGGACTTACTTAAGGCATTAATTTTTAAATGAATTTTTTCTCTTTTTCTTATCTTACCTGTTTTCCGTTGCCTTTAAAGTTTCTAAAGTACGCTGCAATTCATTTGTTTTTGGACTATCGATTTTGTGCGGTTTGCCGTTCATCACATTAGTCGCATTAGTTTCCTCTAGGGTTTGTATAGCTTTACTTTCCTGTAAATTTCGTTGTTTGCAGGTCTGTATTTGAACTTCCTTGGTTTCGGTCACGACGTTGCGAGTTGCAATTTGATTTCCATCTTCTGTTTCAGCTGCTAAATACCCTTTTTTCGAGTCTCGTCTTTTCGGACTTTCTTGTTCAGTTTGTATTAGAACGTCAACTTGAGCGGGTTTAAGGGATCGTTTTCGCTCTGCTGGTATGGGCGCTTCTGTATTACAAGCAATATCTTGAGTAAGAATTTTTTCGACAGCTTTTAAGTTTTTCTCGGTCTTTAAAACCAAATCATCTATAGCTTTTTCAGATCCAAATAAAGCTTGAACAGTTTTCCAATGTTCGCTTTCGCAGGCCTGATTCAAACGCAATTCGTTTAAATCTTTTTCCAAGTATCGGCATTTGTTTTGCAACATTTTCACCTCATCCTCGTAAAGCCTGCATTGCGTTTCACTCTTAATAAGCTGAAAGTATGTAAACTTTAATTTCTCCAATTTTAGTGCATTAAAAATTTGTTCATTTTCTAATTCATTAGCGAGCGATGAACTTCCGTAAATAATTTAGGGAGTCTCTGACTACAAACAATGCAATGATTTAAAAACAAGTAAGAAAGTTATATTCGATTGGCGATAATCGTCGATTCGTTTTAACACCCTACAACAGGATAAAATTATTATTTTTACATGATTATCTGTTGGCCGCAAATAATACTTTTACGAATAATTTAAGCAAAAAAAAAAAAACAAGCAAGAAAGTTATATTCGGCGGTGGTCGAATCGCGCCTACCCACCACTATGCTTTTCGCATTCTACTCTCCAAGTTCTTTTAATTTGATACCCATATCGATGGTGTTATTAAGAAAAATGTGATTGCGGTGTCTACCATATTGATAATTAAAACTAACCCATTTCTAGGTAGATAATATACCTTCACTTATGATAAATAAGCATAAAACCTCAAAAGAGTGAAAAAATAATATATAATCAATTTTAACTTTGTACCGGCATGGGTTACATTTTTAATTTTTGCACTTAATGAATAGTGTTTCGTAGAGTAAATGTGGAAAACTTCTTCCTTCAAACTTTTACAATTTCTGAGTAGCGCACAAAAACCCATAAACTTTTGTTACGAAAAACGGAGCTGCGTTGAGTTTATGCTCCACTGCTGACTTCTCTGGCCAATTGGCCCATTTTCAATACCGACCTGCTTGGAAAAACTTGCGATGTCTCTACCAAATTTAAGATCGATATCTTTATTTTTGCGACCGGTAGAGTGACAACAACAAACAGCGCCCAGATGGACGAACATGGCTTAATCAATTCAGAATTTCACACCGACAAAGAATATATATACTTTATAGGGTCGCTGAAGCTTCCTTTTAGATGTTACGAACATTATGGAAAAAGTATACCCCTAGTTTACAGTGGCGGATATAAAAATGATATGCAACGGTTGTCTTATAAGTTTACCCCAAAATATAATCGGCAGATCTGCTAAGTTTCTCATTACGCCGCGGAGACTATAAAAACACATATACTAATAAGCAAGAAAGTCATAATCGGCTGGGGTTGAGTTTATTACTAGATTGAGGTTTAAGGGAGATTAGAAGTTTTAAGTGAATTACTAACCGATTTTATTCAGAATAAAATGGAAAAAATGGAAATTTGATTATTTACAACTTGTGTGATTACGTGGCCGACACGAGTAGCGGGGCTCATCAGTGAAATACACTTGGAAAGTTTCACACAAATTCATAAATTTCTACTTAGAGAAGAAACAGGATGGCTTTACGCTTTAAATTTTACTCCGGGCGTCTCCTTCACTCGATTCGGCCCATTTGCGACACCGTCACAAAGACGGAGAAGAATTTCATGCTGATCAAGAATAGGCTCCCCTTTCTGAAGCTTACTTTCGAATGAAATTTTTCCCATCCTTTGGTAGTGAATATAAAAATGTAATCGAAGAAAAAATTGACCAAGTAAATCGATCGATCTGCTCCCAATGATTGTTAATTATACCTGTGACCATCAGTAATTCAATACTTATTTTAACACGTTTTTAAGCTAAGAAAATGCACTTAGCACACAAACAAACAGAAGGACATAAAAAGTTTTACTTTGTTCTATATAGCACAATGAATGCCGCGTGGAGTCTCAAATAAAAAGTTTGAAAGGGCGTAACTAAGACTAACAATTGCAGGATGGTTCAGAATGGTCAAATCACGCAAGTTAAACTTTTCAACTGGAATGGGATCGGCGGGCATTTATGGGTAATTTTGTACATTGTAAAGGGAGTGGCAATACTAATGCACACGTTTTGCTTTTTAAACACTATTCATACTATATATTACTTACCTTAATTAGTTGTGGCTGTTCCTCCATTTCTATATTTTGCTCACTTAGTTTTGTTTTGATTAGTTCTTCAATTTGTTTGTTCACAATTTTTAAATAATTTTTCTCGGAATTTTCTTCGACTGAGTTTTGAAATTTCTTATAAGCACAAATGAAATTTGTAAGAAAGATTAATGGAGTATATTTGGCATATTTCTCTTTGAGTAAAAGTAACGATTTTTGTAAAAATCTATAATAGAGAGAAAAATTGCGGTAAAAAAGAAAATTTTTATTCAAGCGCACATTATATAATGTAAAAGTTTTCGCGTAAACGAAAACGAGTGCGTTGTCACACAATTCTCATCGAATCATTTTTGGCGCAATATGTACTCACTTCAATTTTATTTCCCTATTAGCGCGTTCGTTGTGAAAGTTTTTTCTTAATTGCTGACATAATTTCTCTTTATTCAATAATTCTTGCTGCAATGCTTCAAAATGTTGTCTGCTCGCCGCGCACTCATCTCTCAAACGATCTATTTCTAATTTGGCTGAAAGTAATTTAAAAAAAAAAGCTAATATTATTTTGAATGCCTTTTGCAGCTTATGTTCAAATTCTACGAACCGTTATCTAAATCTCTTTGTATTTTCGCTATTAAGAATTTTTCCTCGCTTGTACTTTGCAAATCCGCAACTAAATGCCTTAGACCTATATGATTATCAGTAATATCGTTAAGTAATTTTTGTTGCGATTGTATTTGCTCTCGGGCTATTAGCAACAAGCTCTCAAGATGCGCAATATTTTTAAGCATTTCCGTCTTCTGTTCTTGAAATTCTTTATTAAGTTTATTTTCTTTCTTAAATTCTTCCAATGGTATGACATCCAATTGATAATTATCAATGATTATACCATAATCCATATTCAAGTCGGGTATATTTATGCTATCCATTGATTTTCCGGATAATATTTCTTGCGTAACTAATGATAATTTCATTAAATTCTCCGTAAATGATTTTTGTAAACTTAAATATTCCTCTCTGCTATAGCAATAGATGGAAAAACAATTTTCCTTTTCTCTTTTCAAATGTTCGGATTCATGTTCCAAATTTTTAATATCCATTTTGTATTTGGACTCTTTCTCCAGCCAAAACATTTGTTTCTCTTTCATCTTGCTCAGGCTATTATCGAGATCTTCTTTTAAATACTGCAAGCACTTTTCCGCCTTCATTAAATCAGTTTCGAGTTTAGCCGTCTTTTCAGTTAATTCAGCGCAAGCTTGCATCACTTCCAAGTCACTGGCTTTCATATGTAAATATAATTCTTCGTAATGTTTGCGATAGATTTTCAATTCGTCAACTTCTTGCTCAAGCTGACGCTTTTCCGTTATTGTCCAGGTAGATTCATGGCTAATATTCGGTATCTGCAAAAGAGAATGACTTCTATTGGGCGTAGTAGGACGTGTAGATGAGTCAAAAAGCGTAGGCATTTCTATAGGCAGTTCTTCAGCATTCCTAATCTCACCATCTTCACGCATGCTCTCAACTGATTGCGCATCGTCTTCAGCACAATAGTTTTTCATAGCTATATGCTGTTTCAATAACTCTTCTAAAGCCTGTTCTTTTTGTTTTAGTTCGAGCATCTCTTCCTGTAAACGCAAAGGCGAGTCTTGACACGCATCTGGAGACTTGAGTATTTTTAACAGATTCGATAAAAGCGTCTTATCAATTACAATTTGCTCGGACATATCTGCAAAAAAAAAAGTTCAATTTAATAATGATTAGGTTATTTTTCAAAAAAACAAAACGCAAAAAAATAGAAAGCAGCTCACCACCGTATTCTTTTAGTTTTTCTAAAATTTCCAACATGCCTTGACGTAATATTTCATTCTCTTGTGCTATATCTTGATATTTCATATCCATGCCGCCCGTGTTGCCCGGATCTTGAAGTTCGATTTTATAATTTCCATGGCAATGTGTACAGACCGTTACCGCTAACGAGGCTTCTGGCGTGTTATTGGAGTCGTCAACTTCTCCAATTTCCTTTGTTGGCGACTTTCGGGTAAGTTTATTTATTTCTAATGTCTGATAGGGAGGGGTGTCGTCTTTACTATTCATTTCCGTACTTTCAATGATCCCATGATCTTCCTCAGCTAAAATTTCCGAAGATTTATCGCGATCGGCAGCAGTGTTATTGGACGCAGTTAATAATAATTGCTTCAATTCCAAAATCTCTTTTCTACAAAATGAAAGACCATTCATTCACATATCCGTTAGAATAGTAACATCATTTTGAAAATTAGTCTCATTTTACAAGTTTTTAAATTTTTAAATATATCACGTATCGTGTTCTTTTTATATATATTTTCCATAAAATTATACTTATTCTTCATCTTGATTTGAAGTTACAAAAATTTTCGTAAAACAAGTAAGAACATTAGAATCGGGCAAGGCAGATCATTAAATACCCTACACCGTACTGTCTAACACAATTCATATTTTTGTGTGAAATTACTATTATAATATAGTTTTTGTCATTTTCATCAGACGGACAGACATGCTTAATCATCAAGTCAGATTACGATTCTGAATCGAGCGGTATAATAAAAGGTTGATCTATCTTTACCATAAGTGGTGTAGGGTATAAGTATTCTTATGTATAAATTTGCAAAATTCATTATTTTTTTGTATAAGAAAAAGTGATTTCTTAATGTTGATCGAATCTTTTCATCAATTGTACTTCACCTCATAAATCGGCGAAGATCTCCGCTACGCCAATATTATCAGAATTTCAATGCAGAATAGACCGAATTTAAACATCAAGAAATGCCGTAGAGCCTCATTAAGTAAAGGTTTTTTTTTCACTATTCATCGATTTTCTTTTTTTCAACTAATTAACGTTACGTGCTTACTTCTTACCTTAAGTCGCTTTTTTCTAGTTTCAATTGTAGTCGCATTTCTTCGGACGCTCTTAGCTTAAGATTTAAACGATCGATAATCTTCCCTTTATTTCGCTCTTTGGCAGCTAAATTTTTGGTCGAAATAATTGCATCGTCTGGTATATTTAAACGTTTCCTTAGAAAGGAATTTTCCTGACCAATTTCGTGCATTGAATTCAACTCCGTAATTAAGCTACGTATTTGATTTTCTCTTGATTGCAATTTGCTTTCCAAAGCAGAACATCTTCTCAAAGCGGGTAGTAAACCGTCTTCGCCACATTGAAACGCGGCCAAACTTTTAGTTGCTTCCATAGCTTGTTTGGCTTTTATTGCGCACTCTTCTTCAGCTCTTTCCAACATATCGGAAAGTTCCCGGCATTTGGCGGTGCTAGCTTTCAATAGAGCCTCGATATTCGCACAGCACGATCTAGGTTTGCGGGGATTCATCTCTTCATTACGCTCTTGATAAATGCGATTCATTAATTGGGTGGCAGCTAACATTTCATCGGCCATAATCTGAATTTTCAATTCTAATTGTTCGATAAGCTTATCGCGTGCCTCTATGGCCTTCATATAATGAAAGAATGAAACTTTTTCCAGCAAAGAAAAAAAAAATAGGAAAGGAAACATTCTCTTTCAAAATACTAAATACCTGATATAATTTGAATTTTTCTGATCCATTTGCTCCTACATCTGTATCCGTACTCTCATCTCCACTTAACGCTTGGGATCGTTCGCTTCCATCGAGTTTATTAGTTTTAGTTTTTAGCTTTTTCAACTCTTTATCTTTCTCGAGTAGCAATTTCTTCCACGACTGGGCCTTTTTTTCTAGTTTATCAACAAATTCTTGCAATTCTTTTTCACTGCGTTCTTTTTCATCTTCCAAATAGTTGATATTATTTTCTAAACGTTTTATTTCAATGGTCAATTCATCGAAGGCTTCACGCAAAGATGTCTTCTCCTTTTCCAGTAACAAGAAATTTTCATTTAGCTCTTCCCAATTTTCTTTTTCGCATTTTAAACGTTTTTCCAGATCAATTATAGTTTTTGATTGTTCAATATTTTCATTTTGTAAGGCCTATATATATATATATATATATATATATATATATATATGCATATAGATATATATGTATGTAATGGGGAAACTTCTTTAAAAATCTCTCGCCTTTCTCCGAAACCAAAGGCAATTAGTTATGCTTACCTCGATTTCTTTCAGTAAACGCTTAATATGTTTATTTTTCAAATTAATATTACGTAAAAGGGACTCTTGTTTGTCGAGTTCGGAAAGTGGATCGGAGGAATCTTTATCGCTTGCCTCGGCATTGGCCGTTATCTCTTTTAGTCTTTGTTTTAATTGGAAGTTTTCGGCAATTAACTAAAAAAAACCTCTCTCTGTTAGGTCGTAAAGCAATGAATTTTATGAACAAACATTTACTTACCCCTTTATTTTTATCTCTAAGAAGCAATTTCTCATCTTCTGTTCGCGTTAGCAATTGTGTAAGCTTTTCATTTTCAATCATTAGACGTTCACTTAATGATTCTAGAAATGTTAAAAGAAACATTTTAATAGATGTGTGTGTGTGTGTGTTAGTAAGTTTACTACTAATAAGATCTATTTACCAACACAACTAGATTGGGATTTTTCATCAAGTTGTTCTTGCAATAACTGAACTTGCTTGCCTTTGTATTGTAGGACGGCCAGTGTTAGCTCTAAAGTTTTTCTTAGCGATTTCTTTGGCAATTCATCAAGAGCTACAGCCAATTCTAATAAGGTCTCGTAAAGGTGATCCTTTTGTTCATTTGTGAAATCATTGAATTTCTTAACAGATACCACTTCTGGTAAATCCATTCTAATCTTTCTACAAATGTTTTTATGAACTTTTTTTTTGTTTCTTTTTTTTGTTTAAGTTAAGATTTGTTTTCAAACTTGTTAAAAAAAAATGTCTTTCTTTTTTTTTTCTTTTTTTTTTTTTATAACTAAATTGACATTGTAAACATTTTTGCTTGCAAGCTAAGGGAAGGAGCTATAAAGTATGAATGACAACATAAAAGTTGTTGTCTTGGCGACACTTTCACTCTAAACAAACTTTGTCAACACGTTTGCCATATCTGTGATGTTCGAATGAAAAGCAAAAAACGGATTGTAATCTACATATATGGGTTCAAATTCAAATATATCTGATGGGTTGGTGTGTGCTCTTATGGCAAGAATTGGTTCTTATTATATGATTTCAATGGATACACATATTTCCAAATACGAAGCGCATTTCTACGACATCTGGTATTTACGTCGAATAAAGTTTTAATATTATGTTTTTGTAAAAATTTTCATCAGCGAATTCTACATGCAAAAATGATAAAGAAATAGGAAATACCAGTGCACATAACGCTTGAGTCCGATGGTTTTGACTTCTCCCTACATAAAATAACAATAATTGATGTATTCAACGTACGGCGACGCTAGTCGTGGAACTCTCAAAATTGCATTTTCAACTTTCATACTTATTGTTGTTTGATATGAAGCAATCTGCTACCGACGCTCATCAGACATTTTTAGAAGCTTATGACGATGCTGCTCAATGATGTTTTCATGGCAACGACAAAAAAAGGCCTCAAGGACTAAAAAAGTTCAAAGACCTTCTATTGCTAGACTTATTGGTCAAAAAGCCAGCACAAACTCTCAAAGAACTTTCGAACAGCTTAACCAGTCGATGGTTTCTAGACGTTTACATGTGATGGGCTACCTCGAAAATTGACCAAAGGGGCCATATTGGCTACTTGTTGCAAGAGATGCCCAGGATACACTGTGGCAGCTCGAACGGGAAGCTATTCCACACCTAACGCACTCTTCCTGATTATTACTTGTTCAGATCGGTGGCATGATTTAGCTGGCACGCGGGTCTGTAAAAATGAAGAAATTCGACAAAGTGGCCAATTTATTACAAAAATCGAAATAGATATATTTGCATGCTAATAAATTAAAAATTTGTTGTGTGCTTAGTTTGCATTATTAGTAATATTTAAAAGGTAGTATGTTTTTAATGGAGGCAATGGCACTTGAGTTGAATGAAATCGTTTTTCTGAATTTTGAGAAAACATTGGTCTATGGAAAATAACACAAAATTGTGTTGAAATAAAAAAAAAAAAAAAAGATAATATAATTTTATGTAATTGCATTAAAAAATACTCAAAAGTTGTTGATTATTCGCAAAGTATTTCATTAAAACTAATCATAGTTTGCAACAATTTGTGTACGCGAGAACGGGTTAAAATCATTGTGTTATAACGTTTGTACATCGTGCAAAGCATTCATTAATTCCTTGTATTTTAGCTAGCGGTTCAGTTTCACTTCTATGTTATCAAAGTTTCCTGATTTCCCTCGATGCAAGTTTGAAATAATGCTTTTTCGATGACATAATATTTTATATCGTTTAATTCTCATAAATCGCATGCAACATATTTATAATCAATTCATCCTTACTTCGTGTTTTTTTTTTTTTTCTTTATCAAACTCGTGCTGTTTTGGGGGACTTACATGATTTAGAGTCCTTTCCTTTCATCCATTTAAAGGTAATTCAATATCTGACGAAATTGAAAAATGATTTATCAATAATAAATTATAAAGCTTTTATATTATAAAATTATCTCACGTAATATACTCTTTTTCCCATATAGAACTCTCGAAATGGGGCTTTGCCGCTTTAAAAAAAAACAACATTTAGATTATTTTATTGGTCACGGTAACTTTTGTTTTACAAAATATTATTGCTATTAATTATATGCATACACACATAATGTAATTCATAAATGTTAAAATAAATAAAATTCTAAATAAAAATAACATGCGATTTTTTTAAAATATTTTTTAAAAACCTTTTTATACCCAGCCACCACTGAAGCATAGAGATATAATCATTTTGTTTTTTCTTCATAATGTACGTAACACCCAAAAGGAAGCTTAAGAGGTATTCTTGATCAGCGTGAAATTCTGAATTGATTAAGTTATCTGTCCGTCCGTCTGTGTGATGTTTGTGTATCACTCTGCCGGTTGCAAAAATAAAGATATCGATTTTAAATTAAAGTTTCTGCACGCAGGTTGGTATTGAAAATGGGTCAAATTGGTCAGAGCAGTAACCGGCAGTGGAGCATGAACTAAACGCAACTCCGTTTTTCGTAACAAAAGTTTGTGGGTTTTTGTGCGCTACTCAGAAATTGTAAAAGTTTGAAGGAAGAAGTTTTCCACATTTACTCTACGAAACACTCTATTCATTAGATGCAAAAATTGAAAATGTAACCCATGCCGACACAAAGTTACAAATGATTAAATTTTATCTTTTCATCTCTTTGAAGTTTTATGCTTATTGATCATAACCGATACTAGACCGAATGTTTAAAGCTATTTTGTACATTTCTCGAATGAAGATATATTATCCGCTTAAGAATTGGTTAGTTCGAAAATGGACCGAATCGCCACCTCAAAAATTAATTTTTTCTTACTAATACCATCGTTATTACTACCAAAAGAAAGACCTTAAAGGAAAGAATACGAAAAGCATAATGGTGGGTATGGTAGAATCAGTCATTGCCGAATATAACTTTCTTACTTGTTTTTTTTTATTTAATTTTTTATTTAGATTTGTACTTAAGTAATACATTTTAAAAATTAAGTGCAAATATAATATTTGGTATGGTACACACCCGTCCATATTGTTGATTTGCAAATGAAAGTTTGTATATCTCGTTTCTATATTTACTTTTAAGTAATTTTTCTTAATCTTTGTGACAATCTGAGAAACTTTTGGAAAAGTGGTTTATATAATATAATATGATTTTGTAGAAAACTTTTAAAATTTTCCATCTATTCATTGAAATCATTGTTAAAATTTACAAAGGACAACTATTTATTTATACTTGTCATTTGCAGTGGAAGCACAAGTTTAAAGTTGAGCATAAATTTTATAACTAGAGCGAGTTGAATACGTCGTTGGTAATTAGCACTTTCATACTAAGAGAGAAGAACTCATATTTATATATATATATATATATATATATATGTATATATATAGAGTTTCATTAAGGTCGCAAAAGAAATTATTGGATGCTTCAAGAAAAAAGGGCAGAAAAGGAATTAATTTCGGAGGTATTGCTTGAAATTCAAACCACGGATCAGAAAGCATGAATCTTAAAACAAGCCTTTTAATTGTATTATCCTACTTTCCACCAATTGTTGACAAATAAACTTTTCGTGGTGAAATTCAAAGACTACATGACTTCTTTGACGATAAACAAAATTTATTATTGGCCTTAGACATTGCTCGTACGTCGATCGTTTCTTGATCATCAAGACTAGCAGTTTTAAAGTTCTAAACAATGGAAAACCTACTTTTTACTGTAATCGGAAAGGTCGCACGACGAGTGGTGTCTTGGCTACGATTTTCATTAATTCAATTATTTTTCTATTTAATTGGAATACTCTTACCAATGCCTCGATATGCAAAAGCCAGCAATCTGCAATTTATTTATTTCAAAGTAACTGCAATTCCATGCATAAAATGAAAATTTCATTTCACGCAATTTCTTAATGGACAGCCGATTTACCATCCGATTTGCAATCCATTCAAAGTACTTTTCAATGAGGGATTAAGTCCGCTGGAAATAACTTTTCTGATATTCAATCTTTTTCATCTAAACCATGAAGGAACCCGTCCCTGTCAGTAGTCGTCCATGAATATCAAGCTGCAAGGAAAGAAATTGGTAAATATAAAAATCTCGCCAACGCGCTCTCAGCAGGAAGCTTGGCTATCTTGTTGCATGCAGTTAATAATTGCTGGCTAATCACATCGTACTCTTGACATTACGATGTATTTAAGCAGGTAAGCAATTTTAGGCACATTCCGCGTAATTCCAGTGTTCACAAACACAATTAAACTTATTGTGAAGGAGAGGCTGGTAGATGACTTGATCTTTGAGAACATTATTCGGATTCGTGCTTATGTCTTTCAAAAACGCAAACAACAATTAACATGTGTGTCAATGAACATGATTGTTACGCTTTCCTTCGATATTAGCAAAGGTTGTGATTGCGTTAAATTCACGAAGGTTGACAGAATTCTTTTAAACTTTTCAATTCTCCTTCAAATGCGCCCATAGATACTAAACATTTCACTCAAGTGTATGTTGGTAATGGATGCAGACAGAGAGCATAAAGCCAGAGCCTTGAAGGAACCTTCCTCCACAAGATACGCTCTAAAGATAGCTGCAATGGAATGATCATAGAAAATTTTTTGTTCTTTCGGATAATAAATCAGCTCTGCTTTTGGTAATTAGAAGAGATGCAGGCAATGTATTTAAAATATATAGGAATTTTAATATAGAACTACTGTCTTGTCTTCTTGTGGTTTCTTACACCACTCTTTACACCTTGAGAATCTACTAATACGCTTAACGTATTGGGCGCAACATATAACGGGGTCAGTTTCTCTTCAATCTTAAAAATAAATACATATATGTACTGGAACATTAATTTCAGTTAATCATCACATTCTATTTCCTGGACATATAAGTCATATCTGTTATCGACTTAGTCCACAACATCCGGAAAAAAAATAGAAGAGAATCAAACAATGTATGCATAGTTTAGAATTTGCGGAATGATTAAAAAGTTCGCTGAGCAATCCATTAAATTTGAAACTGTATATGCGCATTGTTGCTCAGTGACCAATTAAAATATTGATCGGATATTTAATACGTACATTATGTATAGACAATAGCTGCGCATACGAGATCGCGTTTTTGAGATAAAAAGCTTTCCTTAGTTGCGATAAAATTAGAATCTGAGAGAGAGAAGTTGTCTACGCTT